CCTTCGCCGCCGCGGTGCCGCCGGGGCCGTCGGACCGGGAGAAGCTCCTCCTCGAGCGGCGGACCTCCATCCGCTGGCACGCGTGCCCGGCGCCGCTCCTCGCCGTGCTCCGGAGCTCCTTCGCGCCGGACGTCGAGGCGCGGCCGCGCGACGGCGCGGCGGCCGCGCGGTCCCTCGAGGGCGCGTGCGGCGCCTGGGTGCCGGACCTGCCGACGCCCGAGCCCCACGGCGCCGTCGACGTGCGGGAGGTCCTGGGCTCCATCGGCCGGGGCTTCGAGGAGAACGGCGACGCGCTCGCGCTGGCCGCGTACTGCGAGTGGCTCGGCGCGGCCGCGGGCGACCGCGACGAGGCCGCGGCGGCCTTCGCGCGGGCCGCGGGCGCGCTGCCGCGCGTCGACGCGCTCGACGCGGGCCGCGAGAGCCGGCGGCACTGGCGGCCCCTCGACGCGGCGATCCTGCGGCGGCTGATCGCGCCGCTCGAGCGGCGCGGGCTCCGCGCGCTCGACCTGAACCACCAGGACCTGCTGGACTGCGGCCTCGACGTCTTCGCGAACCTGACGGCGCTGGCGCGCCTGAACCTCGCCTGGTGCGGCCGGCTCCGCGGGAGCCTCGAGCCCCTGGGCGGGCTCCGCGACCTCGAGGTCCTCGACCTGTCGTTCTGCCTCGACCTCGCGGGCACGCTCGAGCCCCTGTCGCGGCTCACGAAGCTCCGGTCGCTGTCGACGCGCGCGTGCAGCAACCTCGGCGGCGTCCTCGCGCCGCTCAAGGCCTGCCCGCTCCGGGACCTCGACGTGTCCCAGTGCCTCTTCTCGGGCCGCATCTCCGCGCTCAACGCGGACCTCCTCGAGCGCCTCAACGTCGAGAACGCGGACGGCATCGACGGCATCGGCGAGTACCGCAGCAAGCGCCGCGGGTCCGTCCGCATCCAGGGCCGGTCCACGCGCATCGGCGCCACGTCCTGGTAATGTGTGTGAGTCATTTCGCTTTTAGCGCGCTACCTTCAAGAGTCGCCGTCGGAGTTGGAGTCGGACGCGACGGGATCGGGGGCACCCCATGGCGGAACGCCGTTGGCAAAGGCCTCCGGCCGCCACCTGGCTCGGCTCGCCGAGGTACCCTGCGAACCCCCCTGGATAACGCCCCCGTTGGCAAAGGCCGCGGCGAGGCGGGTGGCGCGGCTCGACCGCGCGGGCGTGCTCCCGGGCGCGCGCGCGCTCGCGTCCGGCCGCAACGGGCGCCCTGCCTGCCCGACTTCCGGCCGGGGGGCGAGTCGTAAGGGGAGCGCCCCGCGTCGCCGCGTTTCGACCGGTTCGTGGTCGAACGGCCTGTCCCCTCTCCCCGACCCGCGTCGTGACGAAACGTCTTTTACTGCGTTGCAGCGGCGGGAGCGGCGGCGGCTGGGGCACCGGGTGGCGGACGTCGGGGTCGTTCGCGTGGTGATGACGAGTGAGCTCGTCGTTCTTGGCTTGTGGGCTTCTTGGGTTGTGGCGCCGGTGATGGCGCCGTGGGCGATGTCCGAGGACGTCGGCTGGGGTCGGCTGCTTTCGCGAAGGGCGGAAGCGGCCTGGTCGCGGGCGAAGTATCGCCCGCGGTCTGGTGCGGCGGCGTCGCCGCGCGGGAAACGCGGACGACGTCGTCGGCTTGTGGCGCCGGTGATGGCGCCGTGGGCGACGTCCGAGGACGTCGGCCGGGGTCGGCTGCTTTCGCGAAGGGCGGAAGCGGCCTGGTCGCGGGCGAAGTATCGCCCGCGGTCTGGTGCGGCGGCGTCGCCGCGCGGAAAACGCGGACGACGTCGTCGGCTTGTGGCGCCGGTGATGGCGCCGTGGGCGATGTCCGAGGACGTCGGCTGGGGTCGGCTGCTTTCGCGAAGGGCGGAAGCGGCCTGGTCGCGGGCGAAGTATCGCCCGCGGTCTGGTGCGGCGGCGTCGCCGCGCGGGAAACGCGGACGACGTCGTCGGCTTGTGGCGCCGGTGATGGCGCCGAGTCGACCGCTTCCGCGAGGGACGCAGCGGACGGTGAGGCGACGAAAGTTCTTTCGCCGCCGACTTGCTCCGAGATGAAGCGGCGCCGCGATGGCGACGCCGTGGAGTGGACACGTTTGGGGGAGGGGGAGGGGGCTTAGGGGGCATAGCCGTCGCCGTCGACCTTGGAGGTCAGGGCGCGGCTCTTCGCGCCCCTCAGGCCTCGAGCTGGACCTCCGCGTCGAGCTGCGGCGTCGACGTCTCCTCCGCGGCGCGGCCGCGGAGCTTGCGGACGACGACGGCGAGGACGAGGAGGAGGACGGCCGCGCCGACGCAGAGGCCGACGATGAGCGGCGTGGAGCCTTGGAGGGTGCGGTTGCCTTTGCCGTGCGCTCCCGAGTCCGTCGTTGTCTTGCCGAGAACGGTGAAGGTGTCCTCGCCGGCGCCGCCCTACGAAGAACATGTCGAGAACGCGGCGATGGTTTTGGGAATGGACACGGGAGACGCTGACGTGGAGGAGATTGTTGGAGCCCTCGACGACGGTGAGCTTGTCGTTCTCCTCGTCGCCCTACGCGCGCGAGAAGCGTCGACGCGAGCGTCGGGCCGCGCACGCGCAGGCGGACGAGGCGACGAGGATGGGGATCCCCGTATGGACGCGGGAGACGCTGACCTTGAGGCGGTTGCTGTCGCCGGACTCGACGGTGAGCGTGTCCTCGCCCTTGCCTCCCTACGCGTGCGCGAAGCGTCGACGCGAGCGTCAGGCCGCGCGCGCGCGGACGAGGCGGCGACAGGTGCGGATCCCGGACGGACGCGGGTGACGCTGACGTAGAGGAAGTTGTAGTCGCCCTCGACGACGGTGAGCTTGTCGTTCTCCTCGTCGCCCTACGCGCGCGAGAAGCGTCGACGCGAGCGTCGGGCGCGCGCGGACGAGGCGACGACGGACGGGGATCCCGGATGGACGCGGAAGATGCTGACGCGGAGGATGTTCTCTTTGCCCTTGACGACCTTGAGCGTGTCCTCGCCCTTGCCTCCCTACGCGTGCGCGAAGCGTCGACGCGAGCGTCGGGCCCCGCGCGCGCGGACGAGGCGGCGACGGAGGGTCACACTGGGCATCACACCAACACACCTGGGCATCACACCTGAGCATCACCCGTCACTAGAGACAACCCCGAAAACGGCGCGAGGGCGCTCGCCCCCGCACCGCGGCGCGCGAGACGGTGATGCTGATGTCGGGATGAATGTTCAAGGGTCTCGCCCGGGGGGGTCGCTCGGGTCGGGCGTCGGCCTCGCCTCCCCCCGGACCGTCACATGTAAGCGCGCGCGTGCGACGCCCGTGGGTAATGGGGCGGAGGACGGGTAGTTGTGGCGCGGGGGGTAATCGGAGGCCTGTCCAGGGGTCTGTTTTGTTCCCGGCGGACCCTGCGCCGGAGCTTGCGCGGGTCAATATCGGCGCGAGCAAGCCGACGTCGCCGCGCGCGTTCGCTCCGGCCGCGGCCTAGGCCTCGTTTCGAGCAGCGCGCCCACCCCCCCCAAACTACACCTACTCCGCCAGCACCAGGTCCCCGGCGTCGCGCCACTCGCGGAGGACCTCGTGCTCGCGGTTGAAGCTGTGGGGGCTCCGGTGGTACTTGACGTAGCCCGGCGGCGCCTTGCGCCGCCGCAGCGCGCGGGCGCAGGTGTCCGGCGGGAAGGGCGGGTCCGTGTAGTGGTAGGGGAAGCAGGGGTCGTCGTTGGCGCCGAAGACCGTCACGTTCGCGCACCGCGACCGCGCGAGGAGCGCGGCGGCGAAGCCGCTCGAGCACTGGCTCAGGTGCGTGCCGACGACGAGCTCGCGGCAGGCCAGGGAGAAGGCCTCCGGGAGCAGGACCCAGGACCCGTGGCGCGCGAGGATGCGGTCGCGGCAGCAGACCGCGTGGCGGCCGCAGTCCGCCGGCGAGTGGCGCTCGAAGCTCAGCCCGACGACGCCCCGCGGCGCCTCCGCGGCGAACTTGTCCGCGGGGCAGGCGTAGCCGTCCAGCGGCTTCTGGAACGACGCGAACTCGTGCGTCCACCGCGACCCGAGGAACGACTCGTGGCCCGTGCGGTTGAGCATGTTGATGCGGATGACGACGTCGTGGGCGTCGATGGCCGCGCCGTGGCGAAACTTGCGCAGGACGCCGCTGTTGAAGACGACGGCGCAGCGCGACCCGGCGGGGATGCGCGCGTCGAAGGCCACCGCGCCAGCCCGCAGCAGCCATGGCAGGACTGCCCAGAGCATCATCGCACCATGCTCTCTTTTTTTTTTGAAACGTCAAGTTGCTGCGCAGTTGAAAACTAGGTTCCATTTTACCGTAAAAACTTTGCCGCTCCAGGGGCGAGTTTTTCGAGTTTTACTTTGCCGATGATTTGCGGCCGGCGAGTTTGCCGCCGGGCCGGTTTTCCGGCGGCCGAGAGGCCCTTCAAGCCGTGGCGTCCCGCGTACTACGCGGCGCGCGTGACGCGCGGAAATGACCGAAATAAGCTCTGCTTTATTGGCGCGGATATTACGGCGCTTCGCGGTTCCTCCTGCGATGACGGCGCTGGTTGTGTGAGGGGCTTGGCAGCCAATTTATCGTAGTTTGCTTCAAGTTGAGGTACAACTTTACTTCAATGTACCACGGAAACTCGCCGTTTCCCCAAGTAGCGGCGCCGGCAAATCGAGCTGCGGCAAACGCAAAAACTCGCGACGACTCCGGCAAAGCAAACAAACTCGCACTCGCCGGCGAATTACGGCAGTAAAGTGGAACCTAGGTTGAAAACCCGCGGGAAAATCAAGGGGATCTTCAATCCCCTTGGGAAAATGAACGTTAGAGCAGGGTCGTCCCGTCGGCGCCGGCGATGGACGTCCTCGGGCTGTCGTCGCCCGCCGCCGCCTCGTCGAGCCGCGCGAGCTGGACCTCGAGCTTGCGCACCGCGGCGTCGAGCTTCCGCTTCAGCGCGCGCATGCGGTCGTCGTCCTGGGTTTTGAGGACCTCGTCGAGGGCGCCCTGGCGCGCGCGGCAGCCCTCGAGCTTCGCGGCGAGGGCCGCGCGCTTCGCGGCGGCGTCCTCCTCGGGCGCGGCCGCGGCCGCGGCCGCCGCGGGCTCGGGCTCGGGCTCGGGCTCCGGCGCGGGCTCCGGCTCCGGCTCGGGCGCCGGCGCCGGCGCCGGCGGCGGCTCCTCGGGCGCCGGCGGCGGCCTCCGGGGCGCGGCCGCGAGCGTCTCCTGGAGCTGGCGCGCGAGCGCCTTGCGCTCGTCCTTGAGGCGCTTCGCGTGCGCGGCGAGCTGGCGCTGGACCATGCGCGCCTCGTCGGCGTCGGCCTTGGCGACGGCGACGCGCTCGTCGCTCGCGGCCTTGAGGCGGCGGAACTCGGCGACGAGGACGCGCCGCTCGTCCGCGAGCTTCGCCGCGGCCGCCGCCGCGGCGTCCGCGGCGGCGCGCGAGCCCGCGGCGTCCGCGGCGGCCGCCGCCGCGGCGGCGCGCGCGGCGCCGGCGGCGGCGTCGACGGCCTCGTCGCCGCAGGCCAGGAGCGCCCAGG